CATAACAAAGGAGCTGTAGAGTCAAACTGGGGTACTCGGTTGATATAGTTTGGCTGTGTCCCCACCCAAAACTCATCTTGAATTGTAGCTTCCATAATCCCCATGTGTCATGGGAGGGACCTGGTGGGTGGTGATTGAATCATGGGGGCCAGTGTTTACTGTGCTGTTCTCGTGCTAGTGAATAAGTCTCATGAGATCTGATGGTTTCATTAAGGCCAGTTCCCCTGCACATACTCTCTTGCCTGCTGCCATGTAAGACATGGCTTTGCTCCTCCTTCACTTTCTGCCATGATTGTGAGGACTCCTCAACCATGTGGAACTGTGAGTCCATCAAATCTCTTTCGTTTATACATTACCCAGCATCAGGTATTTCTTAGCCGTGTAAGAAGGGATTAATGCACCAGTGCACCATTCCACCAAAGCATTTTGTGTTATAACCAGAATATCTATGATTGGTTTTTCTCTTCCATAGATAAAATAGTCAAATAACCATCTCCCTCTTCTTTATTAATAGGCTTATCAGGCACAAAAAGTGTTTGTCATTACATCATCATTTCATGTAGAACATGTTACAAATTAATTAGATCGTCCTTACCTTACTTTTGGAATTCACTGCTGTTTTAGATGAACTTGAGTAGGTAACCTGGACTCAGCTACATTAACTGTACATTCTTTCAAGGTGTAACTTTCTGGGGGAGATTTCCACAGATGGCTAATAGATATGTGAATTCTTGTCACCCTCAACTTCAGCAGGTAATGTACTTTAATTTTGTTCACAGATTCTTAGATTAAATATGGTTTTTGAATTCTGATGTTCTCCATGTATTTCCTGAATAATCCATTGCTTTCTCAAAAGAAAGAAAGAAGGAACGAAGGAAGGAAGGAAGGAAGGAAGGAAGGAAGGAAGGAAGGAAGGAAGGAAGGGTGGGTAGGCCATGAGGGCTCCTCCGTTATTAAGGGGGTTAAGGCTCTTACGAACGAGGCTTCATGCAGCATCCAGCTAGCTTGCTTGCTTGTTCCCTGTCCTTCTGCTGTGTGAGGAAACAAGAGATCAGCCCTCACCAGACAACCAAATCTGCAAGCACTTTGATCTTGGACTTCTCAGTTTCCAGAACTGTGAGAAAATAAATTTCTGTTCTTTATGAATTATGCAGTCTCGGGTATTTTGTTGTAGCAGCACAAACAGACTAAGACATTATCTTTGATGACAAAGACTCAGATTATTCAGCAATCTATTCTAAGCTCATAATAGCAGTTTGCAAATGACCAGTTAGAAAACTGTGCCCATGTGTTTGCAGTGGAATTTGACATGGCTGAAGCTGTGAAATTATGGCTAAAGGAGTTATGGATAAAAATATTGGCTTAATTATAGCCATGGAAAACATAATAATGGTGACAAGAATTTCTCAGTAAAGGTAGAAAAAAAATGTGTTTTCTTTTAAGAAAGCAGGGAATTTGAAGATGACCTCCTTGCTGGCATGTCACAGTGAATAACAAAAACAGAGTGCATCAACTATATCTATTTTTAAAATTTATTCAACACTTATTAAGCTAAAAATAAAAGAACACTATTACAGACTCAGGCGGTGTGATAGCAGCAAACAACATAAATTTAATCCCTGAAGTCATGAAACATTCTAAACAGTGGGAGGAGAATCAATTCATAAAGAAAGATTAATAATAAATATGAGTTCATGCTATAAAAAATAAGCAAGATAATATGGCAAGAATTACATATGGAGTAGATGTGTAGTTTGGGAGGTCATTATATTCTGGTCATTATTGATTTTCTTTTACCATATCCAACATTCTTTGTCCCTTGCAGCCGAACAGAACTCCTATTTGTCTTTGGGAAAACAAGTTCATTTCTATCCTAGGTCTATGAGTTTCAGATAATGTTTACTGCACCCCCAACACACACAGAGACAATTACAACTTCTCATCTCCACCTCTGGGGTGGACATGTAACCTTGCATATTTAATCAGAGCAATACAAACCTTGGCCCAAATGATTAGATTGATTGGATAAATAATTGGCACATGATCCAAGCTGAGCCAGTGAGAACCTTCTCTGAGAATTTTTGGAACTATTGGGAAAGATACACTCTCTCCTTCTGAGGTCTCTGCTCTAAGGACCATGTAAGTAGAAGCTACTAGGGGTCATCTTTGTAAATAACAGAGAAAACCTATTTGAAAGTAAAGCAAAAGTAGAAGAAAGTGTAATTGAGAGACGAAAGACACTGAGCTTACTCTGTTTCCTGAAAACCTACATCTATCTAAGACTAAGCTACCTGAAAACTTGAAAATATGACTTCTGTGTTATGTGAGCTAGTTAATTTCCAATGCTATGCAAGTTAGCTTGAGACTTACTTTTTTTGTCCCATGTACACGAAAAAGTCTTGATTAATTTGGCAATTAACATTGGCTGGGCATCTACTGCATTCCAGGCCCAGCAATAGCTAACACTATGTGCTGTTACAAGAGTTATCACATTTAATCCTTATCCTTTAAAAAAAAAATTTGGAGATAACAAGTGTGAAGTTTAGAGATCTCACATAGCTTGACTAGGCTCACAGCTTGCAAATGGGAATGCTGCAATTAAACTCTGAAGACTATGCTCTTCGACAAAACACAATACTGTTTCTCTGTTCAGGCAGCTAACGGCATCTACTGCCTTGTACCTCAGCAAACTCTGCCTAAGCCCCTAAAGCCCCAGGCTACTGGTCTGGAAATGGTTCACATAATAATACAGCCAAGAGAAGTCTAGAACCCTTGAAGCCTAGGTCTTCTCTGCCAATTGCTGTCTAGAATAAAATCAAAAAGACAATATATCCAAGGCCTTAGATAACCACAGCTACTAAGACCCATTTACATGGGATGCATTTTTTATATTTAGCACTCTCTAAAGCATATCTTAAATTCCACAGGCTGCCCAGGATCTTGTTTATGCAGAAGGGATAGGAGAAGATAGAAAAAATCTTCAAAAATATTTTCTCTATATACTTCTAGGAGACTATGTAATATACTTTAGAATAAATGTGTGTGTCTGTATATACATACATATATACTGTATATATACAATTATATATACATGAATAAACATAACTGTTCACTATATACACACATATACATGATGCATATTTATATAGACATATGTAATGTACATGTATATATTTGTGTATTTGAACATTTATGCATATAAAATACATTTTCTAGAATGAGCTAACAATTAACAAAATAAGACTATCCCAGTTTAAATGGAAAATGGTTAAATTGGAGTTGAAAGAGCTCAAGAGAGTGGCGTAACTTATCTTTAATAAGCCACAATTTGAGATTTAAGAAAATTTATTCTTTTAGGCCTAGAAATAATGACTATTTCTGAATATTTGCCTTCTATCTCTAAAAATTACTAGAGCTCATTTTGGAGAACAGGTATTTATTAAATAATAAATTATCCAAATCATTTGAGACTACATAATAAATAGAAACCTGGGCCGGGCGCAGTGGCTCAAGCCTGTAATCCCAGCACTTTGGGAGGCCGAGACGGGCGGATCACGAGGTCAGGAGATCGAGACCATCCTGGCGAACACGGTGAAACTCCGTCTCTACTAAAAAAATACGAAAAACTAGCCGGGCGCGGTGGCGGGCGCCTGTAGTCCCAACTACTCGGGAGGCTGAGGCAGGAGAATGGCGTGAATCCGGGAGGCGGAGCTTGCAGTGAGCTGAGATCCGGCCACTGCACTCCAGCCTGGGCGGCAGAGCCTCCGTCTCAAAAAAAAAAAAATAAAATAAAAATAAATAAATAAATAAATAAATAAATAGAAACCTGATTGACTTGTCAACTGAGGTCTGGAAGAATTTATAAAGTAATTGCACATATAACTGAAATAAAAGCAATCAAACTGTGCTTTTATCAGTTTCCATAGCAAATTCACTTCCTCGTAGTGGAGAAGTTGGGAACGGAAAGGACACAATGACGACTAGCACCACATTCTGCCAACAGCCCCCTCCAAGCTGCTTTCATTCATTAACCTAGCCTAATCTTTCAAACAAGGTAGATCCACACCATTGGACTAAATCTCAGTCAACTCTGGAAATCTAAACAATTTTGAGCAGTGGAATGAAAGGTGAAATTCTCATGGAAGATGAGACAGTTGAAATAATAACATCAAACCTCATGTTTTTATTTTCTAGAAAGAAAATCGTCCATATTTAACTTTGATTTACAATGATTGCTTTCTTCCCATGCTTACCAGCATCTTAACTTTATCTAATAATACAGTTGCATAAAGTTACTTCCTCTATCTAGGCTGAAGAATTCTAATCTGTTGCTAGATACACATATTTCAGGTTAGTCCACAGATCATTGTTTGAGAAAGATTACTAATATAGATCAGTAACTTAAAATCACCCTATAGTTTTAAAAAAATAAAGATGCCTGGAGCCCACCTGAGATCCCCTGAACCACAATGCCTGGGCATGGGGCCCAGACATGTGCATTTCTCTAAAATTCCAACAATAATTGTCATGAAAATCCACCACTGAGAACATCTGAATTCAACAATTTCTAAAGTTCTTTGCAACAATAATTCTGTAATTTCTTTGACTTATGCCTTTAAAAACTACCCTATTTTTTAATGAACTCATAAATACTTCTAGAGCAATTAATTTTGATGAACTCTCTAAAGTATGTCTCAAAAGCAGTTGTAAAAGTAGCAGTATTTATGTTTAGGAATGCCTTCAAGTCAAGTAAAAGTCATTAGTCGCATAAAACATAGAACTCTTTCTCCCTTCATACAATAAAAAGTCTGGAGATAGGTAATTATTGACTTGACTCAGAAGCTCAGGGAGGTTGAGGTGATCTCTCTGGTTACAAAATGACTTTTGCAGTCTCAACTACCCTGACTTCATTCAAGGCAGAAAGAAGGGTGAAGAACAAGAAAGGATGGGTAACTACAAACATCTCCTTTAATCATGAAAGCAAAAACCTTAATAAATACCTTTTGACTAGACTTCCAAGTAGGTATTCTTGGCAAAACAGGATCTTAAGGCTACTCCTAGTTTTAAGATATCCTGAGAATTGGTTTAGACCAGCCGTAATCTATTGCCAGGGCCAAATACATTGTCATCACGCCAACTGAAAAAAAAAAAAAAAAAGATTCTGATTGATAAGTAAGAAGATGGATATTGAATAAGAAACATTGCAAATAACTATTTTAAGTCAACTTTAATGAAAAAAGAGATAAAGTTCAACTACTCTTTGTTATAGAAAATCATAATACACCATAATATATTTATGCAATTGCCAAAGAATAATTTCAAAAAATTTTTGGTAAATAAACTCATGGATCTGACAAATGCATATTCTTTTAAGATAATTATTTTGAAAAGTAACATTTATTTAGATGCATAAGTTCTTATGTTACATCATTTATTCCACAGATTTAATCAAAGACCATTATTGTCTTACACTGTGAAGCCAAGATGTTTAATAAGAAATAAATCAGGAGGAAATATAATTGTTTTATTTAAAGTCACTAAAAGAATTTTAAAATCCATCAAACCATTGTTCAGTTTGACAACAGGTATAAAAGACTTAAGATGTGGCACACATTATTGTCCTTGGCCATTCATTTTAGAGAATTTTATATATTAGATTATAATGCAAAACTATCTACAAATGTTTATTTTAACAGCATAAAACTTTTAACTTATTGAACTGTCCAGTAACAATGGATTGTTATATGAAATATACATTCATGTGCTAGTATACCATTTTGTCATTAAAAATAATTAACAATCAAGAAGACTACTAATCACCTGGAGAAATGTTCAGGACATATTAAATGATAAGAAAAGGTACCAAATTATATGCAGTATGTTCCAAATTGTTTATGTAATAATTTATTTATGGAACACAGGCTAGATGTTAGTATTTGAATGTATTTGTTCATTACTAGTTATTTGAATGTATTTATTTCATTAGATTCTCACAACTGTATGAGGTAGGTTATAATATTCTCCGCATTCTACAGGTGAAGAAACTGAGGTTTAGAACAGTTATGGAAGTTACTCAAAAACACATAACTAACAAGTAGCAGAGCTGGAACGTGAATTCAGAAGGCCTAGTTTTAGAAGCTGGGCTTATATGTCTACAATGATATATACCTACAGAATAATTTTGGAAAAATGCACCAAAAGGATAACATAAGTTATGTCTGAGTGGTGAAATTACCATGTTTCCTATATTTTCCGAAATTTTCAGAATAAATATGTATTAATAATAATCAGAAAGTATGATGATTATTTGATAGGCTTTTAAATCCAATAATCACTTAATAAGCTTTTAAACCTGATTTGGTAGGCAATCAAATCAGCCAGGGCTCTACTCAACAACTCCTAATAATATGAACTCTACAAAGTGTTATTCATCTGTACTGAAAAATGAGACTTTTCTAAAATTGCAAATCATGAAATATAACAGCTCATGAACAGTGTCTCCTATATAGTCTTCTTTAAGTTCAATAGTCTTGTTACAGGACAATTGAAGCATTCTGCATGTATAGTTAGAAATACATTGTAGCCCACATATTGAGCCCGTTTGACTCAGAACAATGATATTATTACATTACACTTTTCCTTTCTTCCTTTAAAAGTATTTCTTCCTAAATGAAAATTGAAGGGAAAACCCCATTTTTTTCCTTCAAGCCCTGAATAAATAATCAGCTATCACATTCAGATACACAAAAAACAAAAACACCTAGCAAATCAGTTTAACCAACAATATCACAATATTCTCAACAGAATCGCTGAAAGATTTTATTGGAGAAGAAACTTCTCTAGTAAGGTATCAATATAGACCAACATCCTTTTAAGTATTAATTTCCTTAAAATATATTTCTAGTGATACTTAACAATATTTATTTACTGAACAGCAATTAACACATATTAACTACTTGTGCTTTTTGGAATTTAACGATGCTAAAGGGATTATTTTAGCCAAGTAATTTGGTTTTGCCAAAAATGATGCCAGTACACTGTTACATTCAAGCCGTCTATTTAAATAGGTTAGATTTTTTCCTTAATGTTTATTTCCAATGATGTTCTATTTGTTAATACACAGTCTTTCAAATCTGATGTCTTTCTTATGATCTGAGCTTTGGCAGTGATTAATTCTATACCTTTAAGTCAAGTGCTTTCTGGGCCTCAGACTTCATATCTGTTAAATGGCATAGTTTCTTCTTTCACTGAAATTCTATGAAAAATTTTGTAATTATCTGGGCAATTTCGAAAATAAGCACAGAAAATAAAGTAATTATGTTCAGTTAACCCTAAAATTCTTCTTTTTTTTTTCTTTTTTTTTTTTCCGAGATGTAGTCTTGCTCTGTCACCCAGGCTAGAGTTCAGTGGCACGGTCTCAGCTCACTGCAACCTCCGCCTCCTGGGTTCAAGCAATTCTCCTGTCTCGGCCTCCCAAGCAGCTGGCACCTTAAAATTCTTTGATGCACAATAATACGTTGTAATATCTTTTTCCTTTGACTAATCATTATTACAGACTAAGGCTTCATGTATCTGTATAATATGAAAAAAATAGTACTTTGAGCCTTTCAAAAATAGAAAAGGATCACATAGAAAAAGAAAGAAATATACTTTAAGGAAATTAATACTTAACAGAATGTTGGTCTACATTAATTACCTAACTAGAGAAGTTCCTTCTCCAATAAAATATTTCAATAAATTAAACGATTCTATTGAGAATATTGTGATATTGCTAGCTAAACTAATTCGCTAGGTGTTTTTGTTTTTTGTATATGTAAGTGCAATGGCTGCTTATTTTATTTGGGACTTGAGAAAAAAAGTAAATATGGGTCGATTTCAGATTTAGTAAATAGTTTCCATTATATTTTCAATTCATAGTTTAAGCAAATCTTGCCTACAATATTTAAAATGGAAAAGCTTATTTTTATGGATATATGATAATACACAATAAAATAATTACAGGGTGAGGGTGATACTGAAATAAAAAGAATCTAAAAGTACAATGGTACAGTGCCTGGTTCAGTGTTTTTGCCCAGCAAGTATTTGAATTTATTTCAAAGATTTCTAAATTTGATAATTGTCTTAAGTTCCAGATGTAAAATGAATTAATTACCTTGAAAGGGAATAGTGATACTACCAAAGGAATCACAGAATGTGGAATTAACTATTCTCCATTATGCAGTTCTTGATAGCATTTGCTATCGCTTTAATGTATCTTACTAACCTATTAAATAATTCATTCAGAACATATTTATTGAGGAATTATCATTTTACACACACTATTCTAAGCACTGGGGATACTGGAGCATATGAGGCAGAACAAAACCCTTACCTTCATGGAGCTTCCATTGCAGAGGAGGAAACAGATATAAACAAGATAAAAAGTAAATTATATAGTACATTACATAGTAATAGCTACTAAAGAGAAAATATGTGGCCAGGCACAGTGGCTCATGCCTGTAATCCCAGCACTTTGGGAGGCCAAGGTGGGTGGATCACGAGGTCAGGAGTTTAAGACCATTCTGGCCAAGATGGTGAAACGCTGTCTCTACTAAAAATACAAAAATTAGCCGGGCGTGGTGGCACACGCCTGTAATCCCAGCTACTTGGGGGGCTGAGGCAGAGAATTGCTTGAACCTGGGAGGCAGAGGTTGCAGTGAGCCGAGATCATGCCACTGCACTCCAGGCTGGGCAACAGAGTCAGACTCCGCCTCAAAAAAAAAAAAAAGAAAATATGTCTATTTCCAACCATTTCCTTGAAGCATAGACAGCATTTCTTAGTTATGGGTTTTGTTTGGCTTGGAAAACAAACCTATCTAAACCTTTTCATCTCTAGAGGAATCTGAGTAGTCATTTTTTTACCTTTTCCAGTTCATATATACTCCTATTATAGTATAATCAGATGCTTACAGTATCCAGATTCACTGAAGTTTGGTAGGATAATAACAGGATGCTTTTAAATCCCCCTTTCATGTAAATCTCCTATGCACTCATCTCCCACAACTATACTGGTACATTTCCATGGTCTCAAGAAGTCCTCAGTATATGTTCAGGAATGTAAAGATATGGTCGGCCTTGGGTGTCCTACTGAGCTTGCCAATAAAATTCTGGCTGAACAAGTCAAATTATACAATGGACTATTCCCATCAATTAAACTTTATGCTTTCCCCATTAACTAGGCCATTTACTGGGGCACACGGATACATGCAGACATCCGTAATTGTTTAGTTCCAATAAACAGGAACTTCCACTACTATAAAGGACGGCTGTGATTACCCAAATTTGTTTTTTGTGTGTGTGTGTGTGGGTCCTATAAAGACAAACCTCAGGGCAAAAGAAAAGCTGAATAGTTTGTGCTTAAAAACCAGCCATCAGCAAACCTCAAGTGCCAGTAGATGTAATACGTTATTGACTAACTCCTGATTACACTGAGAAAGAGTGGGAGTGTTGGCAACCTATGCTTTCATTTATCTCATGAGTGAAACACACATTTTTCTCTGTCCCCTAGGGACCAGAAAGAATGCTGGACACTGAGTCAATAAGACACTTGCTTTTTCTTCAAGGAGTTCACAGATGGACACCGACACCTAAACAGAGTGTATCCCAATGTCCTATCCTAATTATGATGGTAAGAAATGAATAGGGATGTATAGGACCTAGGGAAGGTGCACCTAAACTAATTTTGAAAGAGGTTGAGTAGGGAGAGGGGATTGCACTTAGAAAAGAAGTTCTGGAAATAACTTACCCCTGAGCTGGGTTATCCGGATGAAAGAAGGAAGAAATTCAAGGACATAGAAATGAAACCCTATGATGTATACCAGAACTACAAGCAGTTCATTGTTGAACAGGAATAAATTTGATGTGAAGAACAGTGAAAAATAAGCCTGAGAAGACACAAGGGCCAAATTCTGGAAGCTTGGACTTCACTCCATAGGCAACACCTGAGACATCGACCTGTGTTCAGAAAGAGAGTGGTACTCATTCAGATTAGTGGAAGGTGGCAAGCATGGAAATGGAGGTTATTCGTTTAATCCAGGAAGAACATAATAAAAGCCTAACTAGGTAGCAGACATTGAGATTAAGCAGGAACATTGCCAG